AACCAAAATGTTTTTCTTGAAAAAGAAGAATTAGAAAGATACTCCAAGCGAAACATTGATGTTTGGAGAGTCACATTCAAGATTGAGTAATACATATAAATCACATATAAAGGTCAAATGAGAAATTGAATATAAAGAAATAATAGAAAAGCTTCATTTGTTTTGGTTGAAAGAAAAAAATCATATTACAATTACCATCGATGCGACATAACCCATTACTTCAAATTATCATATTTGGACCATGAATGTTTCAACTATATGAAAACTTTTGAATCATAATATCTTCAACCAAATGACGACTTTTTGTAAGAAAAATGTACAAATATAACTACATATATAATGAAGGTAAAAGGGTGTAGGGGTTTGAAATGCATGAGGTGTTGAACTTATAGAGTGTGTGATTTTCTTGGAATGAGACTATATGTGATTAATTAGTTTGAAGGTGAAAGGGTGTGGGGGTTTCAAATGCATGTGGTGTTGGCAAGTTTTTATGGGGGTTTCAAATGCATGAGATTCAAGAAAAAATGCTAGCTTTATAAGTATGTATGATTTTAATATATACTAGGTATGAAATAGTAATCAAAATCCATGAATCAATAGTAAAAAATACCAAATAGTAGTAATAGTAATATATATATATATATATATATATATATATATATATATATATATATATATATATATATATATATAGGGTTAGGTTATTTTGTTTCTAGTAACTATTGTGTGCCAGAATGCACAGATCTGGACCATCGGATAGAATATAATCAAAGGTGATGATCTGGGGGTCTATGATAGTAGAATAAGATAACATATACCATATAATCACACAAATTTCAGCATAAGGACATTTTAGTCAATTAACCTATATTAAAAAAAGGAAATTTTTGGATTTTTAAGGATAATTAATTCCTTTATTTTTAAAAATCTGAATATTTTAAATTAATTCAAAATTAGAAATTCTATTTTATTCTATCAGAATGGTAGAATGTTAACCACAAAATAGTAAATATATTTGTCGATTATATTCTGTCAGAATGACAGAATGCCAACCATAAACTAGTAAATACATTCTAAAAAGAATACACAAAATCGATTCTTGAACTAATAATATCCAAATAATTACATTGTATGATTATGATTCATTGAATAATAACAACATTCTGAAAGAAAAAAAAAACATCACAATCTAACAATAACACTAATCTATTCTAATAGAATCTTATTTTTTGGCAACACTTTATACATTGTAGCATAACACATTCTGGTATAATACACTCTCGTTCTCTATGTTTTCTTCCTTCTCCACATTAATGTTAGCCTCTTCAAAACCTAAATCCACAAAGAAAACATAATCAAGGTTAAAAAATTAAAAAATTCAATGCATTCTAAGAGAATAAAAACTATAAATTCTGACAAAATGTACTTGTTGTTGACAATTATTCTCAAACATTCTAACAGAATACATCTATATAAAATAAATTCTAATAGAATACATTACATAATTCAAGAGCTGTAATTGAATACAGAATTCAATAGTTGCGATTGAATCATCAACACGCATATGCATTCATTCCCAGTAAACACTAGAGTATGTATTCATAATTTACAACAAGATAAAGAAGAGGATGAAAATGAACAGTAAAGAAACGAATTTGGAATACCTGGATAGAAGAAGGCTTGCGTTCACCATGTAAGACAACCACCTGTAAATGCTCAGTAAACCCAAGATCATACACCCTCACCATTGAATCAAAAATAATCAGCCCCACCATGGAGAATCAAGAGACTGAAGCAATTGATAAGAGGATAAAAAAGGAAATAAAATCAATAAGAATCAAGAGACTGAAGCATGTATATGTATATGTGTATGTGGAATATGAAGGACCTGTAACCTTCCAAATCTAATAAAAAAGTATATATAAAAAATTCACTTTTTCTTTTGACAGCGTTTAAGTAGCTTGTATGTCTTCAACAAAAGTCACCCGTTCTTACCTCGAATCTGTACTGAGGGCTTATGTAAAACAAGGAGAGAACGCATACCTTAGGAGGAGGCTTGAACGACGGAGTAATGAGAGCAGAGGGACGACTGCTTACACAACCATAAGCGAGGAGAAGGTAACTCGGGGAATAAATTGGATTGCGGATTTGATGTGCGTTGATCGTTGAAGCTTCTCCAGGTTCTCACTTTTTCCTTTCGAAACAACTGAGAGATGAGAAGGGTGTGCGATGTTTTGTCGATCTATTGCAAGGAGAGAGAAAGCATCTCCGATTCTCGTCTTCATTTGATCGGGGACGAAAGGAACTCGATCGAAGCAGGGGAAGAACGAACGGAAGGTAGCAACAACATAACTAGGTTGATGGTGATGGTGTTGATGCCGATGATGAAGTGTTCAGCCACAAACATAACTAGGTCAAATATATTTAGTTTAATTCCTTAATTGAATGATTAGTTTATTTCCTTAATTGAATGATTTCAATTAAATAATTTCCTTAAATAAAAGTACAAAAGGTCCAATACCCTTTAATGATTTAGTTAATTATTTATTGTTTCTTGAATTCTTATTGGTGTATTTAGGCACACAATAGTTGCTAAAAACATTTGAACCTAACTCTCTCTCTCTCTCTCTCTCTCTCTCTTTATATATATATATATATATATATATATATATATATATATATATATCCGTAGGTTTGGGTCGAAACCGTAGACTATAGTTTCGGAAACCATAGGATATAGAAAGGATATCGTAGATCATTTTATGGTCTACGGTTTTGTTTTCATATATATATATATATATATATATATATATATATATATATATATATATATATATATATATATATATATCCAAGATAACCATACGTGAAAATAGTGAAATAGTAGCCGATTTGACCGACTTATGTTTTATGGGTTGTTTTGGGATAATTGTTAATTTTGAAAAGTAATTAGGAGATTAGACTAGTTTTGTAATTATTTATTTACTTTTTTAAGGGTAAATTACACCAATCGTCCCTCGTTTGCTTAAAACTTGCTAACTTCGTCCCTCATATGTGTTTTTGTTTCAAATTTAGTCCGCTCCACATTTGAAATGATCATTATATCCTTTGATATTTAGTTTAATTACTCTAATATTATTTATTATTATTTATAACTTAAAAAAAACAACTCTCTAATATAAATCTCTCTCATACGAATGAAAATACCACCACAACCTCCGATGCCTCTCCCTCCTCATCTCTCACTCTCCCCCCCTCTCTCTCTCTATTTTTCTTCAATACAAAACACACACACACACACAAACATGTGTTCTGATCGAGATAACAAGAAACACAAAGCACACATACATCGGAAAAGAAAGCAGGTTTTCTTGGAGTAGTCCGCGTCGACTTACACCATCTATGAGGAATATGAAATGTTGGTGGACAAAATCCTCCTCGATCATGTGGCGGTGGACATCACGTTCCTCGATCTGATTACGTTGATCGTAATCCTTTTACTTCTCCTGCGACTCGTTCGTTCCAATTTGCAGGTTTAGGGTTTAGTTAGGTTTGATTTGCAGGTTTATGGTTTTTTACGATTTGTAGGTTTGGGGTCTCGCTGGATCTGTATGGAGGAAAAGGGTGGGATGGTTCCAGAAATTGAAGTCGAAATCTAAATCATACATTGGTGGTGGTCGTCGTTCTTGAGCAATCGACGAGTCCAGACCACGGATGGCGACTGGAGAGTCCAGGTCGGACAATTTATGTGATATTTATAAAATCACAAATTTGCAGGGGTGGAAACGGGCTCCTGGGATTCACCGACGGAATTTTTTTTGTTGGTTTCAGACAGGAATGATCGCTGATGATGTATCAAATTTTTGAGAGATTATTTTGGTTGTGGATGTATCGATTTCTTGGTTTAAGGTCTTGAAGAGGGTTTGGAGTCGTGGAGTAATGGATTTGATTTCTTGAGATATATATATATATATATATATATATATATATATATATATATATATATATATTTAAAACTGATGAATAAATAAAAGAAATGAAAAAAGAAATTATTAAGGGTAAAATGGTCATTTCATGTTAATACGGATTAAGCATGCAAGAAAAAAACAAATCAGAGACGGTATGAGTTAATTTTTGAAAATAGAGGCTAAACATGCTTTTTGGCATGTGTACGATAGACGATTGGTATAATTACCCATTTTTTAAATTGTGCATGTCTGCACATTTGAATGTTTATATAATATGCATGCGTGGATGCATATTCATGTTTTTTTTTTTTCCCCAAAATCAACATAACAATGAAACTCTAATATCAACGTTTAAGAGAATCGCAAATTTAAAACGTCAAAGTTACACAAAAAAACATAAATAAGTACGTATACATATTTAGAAAAAAAAGTTGTCAATTTTTGTAAGGTTAGATATTGTTTAGACGTCTGAAAAGTAATAGTGGTTTTGATTTTGAAAAATAATAAGCGGATTGTGAGTTTTTTAAATTCTTACCAATTTTCTAAAATCTTAATTCTTTTACAAAGGAAATATTTTTTTTTGAAAGAATAAAACTAAATGAGAAATAAAGTTTTCCTAAAAATAATTTTTATGAAGTATAAAATTATAATTACTTTATTTATTAACATTGCAAATTCATATTGATACATAATTGAAGTTCATGAAAGAGTGGTTCGTTTATGAAATAAACAGTCCAAAAGAAATTGATGACCAAAATAGACAAATCATGTAGACATATAGTTGGTTACACTAAATGCAAAGTAAAATAAATTGCCTATACCTATTTAAAATAAAATCTTAAATCTTAAATAATTAAATTCACAGAGGAAGCATAAAAGTGAGTAATTAAGAAATATTTTAAAGAAAGGGGAATTGGGCAATAAAGAAATATCCGGTGATGCAAGGCGAACACGTCTTAATGCACGTGTAGCAAATCGAAAGGGTATTTTTGTCATATGCTCTATCGTTTCATAAAATCATAACCCTTCCCAAACAACTCTTCCAACCCCCGTTTCACAAACAACATCTTTTTCAACAATTCTAGAGAGAGAAACAGACAGTGTGTGTATGTGTGTGAGAGAGAGAGAGAGAGAGAGAGAGAGAGAGAGAAGGCGCAACAACTCTCTTGTATTTGTATCTGGCGCGTTGGTAAACTAACAGTCATTAAAGAGAAGTTCCAAGCCCATAAAGATCAAGAAAGAGCCAAGAAGAGAGAGAGAGAAAAAGTAACCTAAAAACACACTGAGCGTGTCTTTTTTTCAAGAAAGATACATACGGAGTTCTATATATATAGAGAGAGAAAGAGATAGAGAAAGAAAGAGAGAAGGAGAGAGTGTGAGAGGGGGGATGCCCTCAAAAAACCTCTTCTTTCTCTCACTAAAAAAGGCGATCGGAAAACCCAATAGCATTTGTTCATACGATTTGGCCTTTTGGGGTTTCAGTATATAGTGTTGATAGAGTATATATATTTATTTACACACACACACAAGACACAACCGTATAATTGTATAGTGATTATTTATATATACATCTTTATAATCGTATAATGGAGATGTCACAGTCCGATCCGGTTAGTGAATGGAACACATCAGGAGGCCAAACAGGGCTCGAAGGTAAGAACACTTGCATTATCATCTCTCTATCTCGAATTTTATTGATTCAAATGCCAATTTGGGTGTTTTGATGGTGAATGCAGAGCCTATGTGGCAATTAGGGTTGGAATCATACCCTGAACGGCCGGATGAGGCCGATTGTATCTATTATTTGCGGACAGGGTTTTGTGGGTACGGTTCTCGCTGTCGGTTCAACCATCCTCGTGATCGTAGTTCGGTAATTATCTTCAAAACTTTCCATCGTATTCATAATGTGTTTCTTCATGTGATCATCTCTGTAATCTGTGTCTCATCAAAAAGCGAAATCGTTCTTTGAAATTAATGGATCTGTGTACAAATTGGGTATCCCTTGAGTTTTGTGAGGTTATCGTTCGCTTTTATTTGGAAAAACATCGTCATGCATTGGGTTAAAGATTGGTTTGATGAGTTTTGCCAGGTGGTCGGAGCTATGAGGTCTGCCGGAGGGGAATACCCACAGCGGATTGGGCAACCAGTGTGTCAGGTATTCATTAAAATTCTCACAAATTTCAATCCATCAATGATTCTTGCTGTGTATGATGCATTTAGATACCTTTTAATGTCAAAAAGATCCCAACCCTGTTACTCAACAGTTTACGTCCTAGATTTGAAGTTCTTTGCTCTGTCAAATGCTTGTTCTTACAAACACATGGGTTCTGTTTTTAATGGGATCTTTTACCAAGATACATTTGTCTTTTACATTACTTCCAAAATGGAACTTGAGTTTAGTTATTTGTTTGTTTGTTTCTATACTGGAAACGATTTTAGTTATAAATCGTTGTGAACCATGAAGAATACATATCACATTATGTCATCTTTAATGACATTTTGTAACGTTTGAACATGTATTTGTTGTAGACCAATCATAGCACTAGACAAAATGTTTGTTCATTGTTGGAGTATTTAACATGCACGTCATATTCTTGTTGTATAACATTTAACATGATTGTGTGCTTATTTTGTTTCCAGTACTACATGCGAACAGGAATGTGCAAGTTTGGTGCTTCATGCAAGTATCATCATCCAAGACATGGAATCGGATCATCAACCACAGTGTTACTAAATATATCTGGATACCCTCTTCGTCCTGTAAGTTGTTTCTTCTTTTTTATCTGATCCATTAAATTAAAGTGTTCATATATCTTATTATAACTTATACTCTGTTTTTCACAGGGTGAAAAGGAGTGTTCGTACTATGTGAAAACAGGGCAGTGTAAGTTTGGGGTGACCTGTAAATTTCACCATCCCCAACCAGTCGGTGTTACTCCATCACCACCACCACTACCACCACCCCCACCACCACCTGAATCTTTTTCTCCAATGGCAGCTTCTGTTACATACCAAAGTATGCAATCTCCTGTTGCTTCTTCTCAACAGTATGGAGTGTTTTCCGGCAACTGGCCGGTTTCCAGACCTTCTCTTCTTCCGGGATCATATCTCGCCGGAAGTTATGGTCCTCCGGTGATGCTTCCCCCTGGAATGGTCCCATTTCCAGGTTGGAATCCTTACCAGGTATCTATCTATATAAAACCTTGTTCTCATTTTGTAAAAAAGAAAGAAAGATGAAGTACTAAAAATGAGAGATTACACAGGCACCTGTAAATCCGAATAGTAATGTTGGAGGAGGGTCGATGTATGCCATAAGTCCTTCTCATTTATCTCCAGCAGTTCCTTCATATGTTTCAATGGCGGAATCTGCGTTTCCAGAGAGACCTGGTGAAGCGGAATGTCAGTATTATTTAAAGACAGGGGACTGTAAATTTGGTTCATCATGTCGATACCATCATCCACGGGAATGGAATCAGCCAAAGACAAACTTCATGCTTAGTCCCATGGGTCTTCCCCTTCGTCCAGTAAGTATCTTTACACTTCCATGTTTTTTGATTATAATATACATTTAAAATATATATATATATATATATTTTTTTTCAGGGTGCAGCGGTGTGTACACACTATGCCCAAAAGGGTGTGTGTAAGTTTGGGCCATCTTGCAAATTTGATCACCCAATGGGTGGAGGTGGGACGTTGAGTTACAGTTCATCTGCATCTTCGCTAGCTGACATGTCAGTTGCACCATATCCTGTTGGAACTTCCGTTGGAACTTTAGCACCTTCATCTTCTTCATCGGACATTGTTTCTGCAACCAACAAAAACAAAGATGGTGTTTCTACCAGTACCAGTATAAGTATCGCTAGTGGTTCAGTGGGGTCCAGTTTGTCACAGAGCATGCCACTTTCACTTTCTAAATCCTCCACTGCTGCTGATTGATGCCAATTCCACATACATTCCCAAAAATCACATTTCATCAACGGATCCTAACAAACATGCCATCCATCTTTTTTTTTTTTTGTTGTTTTGGTTTTTGTGACAAGTTCTTTCATTAGGACTTGGATCTTGTTTTTTAGTGGTTTACATATTTACATGGCCTCTCCCTCTCCGTTTTCACTTTCACTTTCACGTTACAAATAATAAGCCAAAACCAAACGCCCTCCACATAAATATATAGCTAGCTAGCTAAACTTTTGAATAACCAACGAAAACAAAAAAGAGCATTATCTATTGGAAAGGTGGTGTCTATTTATGTTGTGTATAGGAAACAAAAACGATGAAGGCCTGTTTCCTTCTTGATCTTCTGTTGTGCTTCCCTCCCCTCTGGTTATTTAATCTGAAAAGTGAAAAGTATTCTTCAAATGTGTTTTTCTCTCTCCCCCGCTAATTGTTTTTGTGGGGAAATGGATTTAGTTTAGACAGGTTGCGATAGAGTCTTCTTGATATGATGAGATGTAAGGGGGGATTATTATTTGAATAATTTTATGTTGGACACCAAAACAATGAATGTGAGACGAGAAGCTGGGATTTTGTAATCTCTTGTTATTACTATTTTGTCCGTTACCAGTGTTGATGTTATCTGTGTTCTCTTAATTCCTGCATTCGAAGTTGGTATTTGTTAAAATTTCAATCACCTTTATCTATCTGTAAAGCTGATCAGCATAATATCATGTTTCCAAGTTCAAACTTAACGGGAAAAAGAAGAGAAACTGATGCAATTGAAAAAAAAAAAAAAAGCGTTCATGAGTTTCTTACTTTATTTCTCTCTTTTTTTCTTTGTTGAAACCTAGAAATTTACATTTGAGTTTCGAAACTCACCCTCTTATTTGTCGGTGTAGAATAAAGAGTGACCCACAAAAGATCTCCCATATGTAGTGGGGTTTCTTCTAATCAATCAAACTTGGTCAATGAACAAGACTTTTTATTAAAAATTAATCTCCCAATGACCAAGTCTTTTTTGCGCATTAAGATGGATACAAACTTGAAACTTTTTAATCCAACTTTATTAAGATTGCAACCATTATCTTTCCATCATAGCAAAAACTATTTCAATCAACAGAGCAGAAAGATCAGTCTTGAGGTCAGATCAGTATCCAATCGTTGATAGGATTGTTGGCAAGCTTGCCAATCCGGATCGGGTCCCACCACATTTGTTTTGCTCCAATTCTATTATACTAGAAATATGGTTGACCTCCATCCATTACGTTATTCTTTTATCATAAAATATTCAAAGAATATGTAAAACACTAAAAGATCTTTTTAACATAATTTTATATTGTAAAATTATGTGCTTTATCTAGATATTTTAGTGTTTTAAATTATTAAAAGATACTATATTTTTGAATAAGCTGAAACATAAAAATTAAGTTATATAAAACCTATATAATATCAATTTAATATTTATGTAACCGTTATACTAATTTTGATGTAAAATATTGGATTTGATGTTGGATTGAAGATGTCTTAATATAATAAGACAAGGGAAGAAAAAGTTATCATCTCAATTGTTATTTGGTTTGATAATTCACCAAAAGTTTCAACAAAAATAATATAAATTAATATAATCATAAAAATATTATTTTCACGGATCTATAAGTTGAAAATAAAATATATATGTAGAAATACAAACATTTTATCTTGGTACTAATCACTTTTAGCTTTTACCAAATGGTCAAACACCAACTCCAACAACGATTCAAAGGGTAATCAAGTCATTTTCATAACTCCAGTAATACTCTTATATAATCTTTCGTGCTTCTGCAAGCAATCTGCTGGAGTCCATTTTTGAAAGTCAATTATCATTTTCGGAAAATCAATTTGTAATTTACTTTCCTTAAAATAATGACTTCAAGACTTTCAAGGGGTAATCCCATAATCCATATTAACAAGCCGTGTGGAACTCAAGTACTCAACCGACAAATAAAAGTACACGATCTAGGCGGCTCCACCACAACCACCGACCACCAGCCACCAGACAAACCAAAGCCCATATTACATTATTATTATTATTATTATTTTTTAGCAAAATTACATAAGCAATTGATGATTTCACATGTGGATTATAACATCATACGATTTAATCCAAATATAATCAACTTAATAGTCTACAACATTTAAGCAGATAATCTCAACAATGATTTTGGTATTTTACAGCACCATGGTCAGTTTCAATTACCTTCTGTTCATGTTATACACAAGTTTTGTCTCTCCAAAAAAAACTATCAAAATCTTTTTGTGAAGTAAAAAGATGGAGCTTTTGGTTGTCCAAGAAACAAAATCTTGCGTCTAGTTCACCTGATCAGATTAAGAAGTTTATGTAGGTCATCAAAATCCATAATGATAACAATCACAGGGATGAGAAAGAAAAATGCACCTTCTGTTTTTTATTTTTCTTCTTCTTGTTCTTCTTTTTCTTCAGTTTGATTGGTTTCACTTCCATTTCTTGGTCTTCTTCAATCATATCCTGCCACATTCAGAGTCTCACTTAAACAATGGAAATTTACAGTAAATAATTCAGAAGTGGACGATGAACGCACCTCATAGTCACCAAATGAGTTTACATGCTGTATTCTCCTTTCTGAATTTGAAGCATTGCCTGCATACAGCAGCTTGCATACATAAACCACAACATGATAGATACTATACCAAAATATGTATTTTCAAAATTAGGATGAGGATCATTACTTGCTCTAACAGTCTCTTTGGCATTTTTCACAGCCAATTCCACAAGTTTGGGATTAATAGAAGATAATCCACTAGGTTCCTGTGACTTCCGTTCCAAAAACTTGGCTAACGCAGCAGCTTTATTAGTTTTCATTGGTCCTCCAGGGTGCGCCAATCTGCAAGAATTTGTTTTTCCCAATTGTCAGCATAATAACTCAATCCAAGAATCAAAAGGCAACAAAAAGAGTCCTCCTACTTTGGCTGAATATTCTTATAACTCAAATCCAAACCATAGATACAACTTTTCCTAGTATTTGTATATCGAGTTCAATGGTTTCCCACAAAAAATTCAGCAGATCTACTTAAATCCTTTACAGCCGACGAGAAAATAAGAAGAAAAGGAGTGAGAAACAGAAGGAAAAGCAAAGGTTGACCTAGGTTGAGATCGGGAAACGGTGGGGAGTGGAGATGGAAGAGGTGCAAATTTGCTTCCACGAAGAGCCTTTCGTTCATCCTCTGTCAGTCCCTCCATGTGGATCGGTTGTTGAGGGGATGAAGAGGAGGTAGCCGAGGAGATTGTGTCTGTAATTTATTAAGCGGCGGAGGGGGAAGGTTGAACTTGAAGGTTTTCGATATCATTGTCCCTTCGAAATCAAATTTGGGGAATTTGGAATTGGATTGGATAGCCGATGGGGTTCGTCGTTGCTGGTATTACATTTTTGTAATACCTATTTTGCCCTTCTATGTCATCTTCAAAAAAAAAAAAACTCCTGATTATTAGTGATGTTCATTATTGGGGCTAAATGAAAAGAACAACAGAAATAAAACAACCTCACTGAAATTAATTTTTGATATTTAATAATTTAGGTTGGATATTTGGTTTTCTCATTTTCGGTTCGAGTTAGATTGAAATTTGTTTTTACTTCCCGAGGTTGAAAATCAATATGAGGAACTAATAAAGATTATTCGCACTAATAAAAACGAAAAATACTCCAATTGGGAGTTTCATACGTTTTGCGAAGAGAATGGTATCGTACATGAAACAACTTCACATTTTACTCCCCAACAAAATTGTTTGGTTGAAAGAAAATACGAAACCCTTTTCAAGATGGTTAATTGCATGTTGAACCAATCAAGTTTACCAGACAATCTGCAAGAGAAGCTCTATTGATCACTTTCTTCGTCTCAATATTTTTATCCACAGACAAAAAAGCACATAAATTAAGAAAAACATTAATTATTATTAATTTTATTTAATAAAATGATAGTTTTGTTTTTACTTTCCATTTAATGTTCCATTAAATGCTTAGTTGTTAAGTAATAATGAGGGGATATTTTGGTAAAAATATTATTTATTTTTAAAAATAAACTATTATTTAAAAAAAAAAAAAAGATTGGACTATAATTTTACAGACGGATAGAGCATTTGCTATGTGAAATATGAACAATAGGATCACTAGTACGTGATTCCTACCTAGTCCTTATGAGTTATGGAAGGAAAGACAACTTAACCTACACTGGTTAAAAAAGCCACGTACAAACAAAGGTGGGCCTTGGCCCACCCTACAAAAACTTAATTTTACGTGTGTGTATGTTTCAAATTGGGAGCTTGAGCTATAAAGATTGTATTTATTGGATATCCTTAAAACAACAATGTTTATCGATTATTTGATAACGAATAAGATGTTGTCATAGAATCTAGAGATGCGGAATTATTCGAAGATAAGTTTTTAAGAGATGCTGATGAGATGAAAGTCTCTTAGATTTGGTTGTCATGTATATTTAGTTATTTATAACTATAATTATATCCATTAAAACAATATTTAAATGAAAAATTAAATATAAAGTACATGTTTGAAATTTGGTTGTTTAACATGTAATTTGATTAGGCTAAGATATCATTTGGTATGGAGTAATTGAATATGTAAAGGAGTCGAGCATTATGACGAAATTTAAAAAAAAAAAAAAAAAAAAAAATCTTGTGTGGTTGTCATAAAAAATGGAATGCAGCATTTATCAGATTTTTTTTTTTTTTCTTCTGGAAATGAAAGAATATATACTTACAATTACAAATTAGTTTTATACATATAATTTTCAATCATATTTTTCATTTTAGAACAAAATATATTCTTTTATTTTTTAACATAAAAAGTAATTTTTAATTATAATTATATTTTAAGATTTTATTGGATCTATTTCTTTTATTTTTTTTAGATATTAGATATATTTTTTAAACTATTTGCAAAGCATATAATATGTATTTAAATTTTATATGCAATTTAATGATTTATATAACCACTAGGTTAAAACCCGTAGAATCCACGGGTGTTGATTTTTAATTGAATTTAAAAATTAATTATTTAATAAAATAATATTTAAGTAATTTTTATAACATATGAATTGTAATATTGCATTTTTCAATAATTATTTGATTTGTAAGTATTTAATTACAAACTCAATGGTAAGTATTTAATTAGAAATGGAGATTTTTGAAAACCCTTATTTTTTGTGCATGATTCTTGTTGGACATATGTATATGATGCATTACCAATGTGTGTAATGAAATTAACATAAAAAAAACAATACATAATTATAAATAAATAAAGTCATATGATGGATTAAGTATGATTTGCTAAAAATGAATAAAATATGCTACAAAAAAGTTGGCTACAAATTAGATTAGAAAACTTATGAATTGTGATAATGCATATTTTAATAACTTTGTGATTTGTACGTGTTTAATTAAACAGTAAATGGTAAATATTTAATTACAAGTGGAGATTTTTAACTTGATTTTTATTGTATGATTCTTGTTAAACATATCGAGATGATGCCTTACCTATGTGTGGTAATGAAATTAACATAAAATATACAATATGTAATTATAAATAAATAAAGTAATATGATGGATTAAGTATGTTTTGCTAAAAATGACTAAAAGATGCTACAAAAAAGTTGGTTATAAATTTTGAAAAATTTCCTTATAAAGAACATTGGAAGTTTTATATGTGAGTCTGCCATCTTTATCTAATTAATAATTTTAATCCCTCTGTGCTTTCAACTCAAGATAAGGCAACATACAATTGCCCATGTTAAAAAATTGGATCTTTGAGAAACAAACCAATCTTTAGTACATGTTATTGTTGTTTTCTGCATAAACGATAATAGTATAGGCTATAAAAAGTATAAGGAGGTAAAAAATATGTTTTTTTATAATAAAATTGAAGAAATAAACATACCTTTGTAAGCATCAGGAACCAGTGTCGAGCAATATTTATTTGCAGTAGACGGAAAGTTTGTTGAAGTCTCAACAGTTTTAGTTGTTGCAGATAGACACGTTGATGTAGTATCCAATTTAATATTGTTTGTATTATCTAAGAGGAAACTATTTAATTTTCTAGTTTTTTTAGAAGAAATTGAATAGTTTTTTTTAGAAAATTAAATAGTTTCCTCTTAGATAATACAAACAATATTAAATTGGATACTACATTATAACTCGATTTAGTTAATAAAACAACATGCCTAAAATTACAGAATAAGTAATTCATATATAATATTTATATGTTGAACAAAGGGGTATAATATATTTTTTTGACATATTGACAGATTATGATTAAATTACAAAGAAATAACATATAAACTACAATTTGGTAGTATATAATATATAACTGTAATACTTTTATTAAACTTTATAATATCGCACAATAGTTTCACATATATCCATGTTCTTATTTTTTATACAATAATATAATATTTCAAAAAAAGTATACATATTAAATAATAAAAAATATATTGTTTAGGTATATGTAAGCTACGTTTAAAAGTTTATAATGAAATATGTTGAAAATAGTGATATATAAAAGTAAATATATTATTGAAATATTGTTATTACATCATATAAAGATTGTAATTAACAATTATGTAAGAATCTTATTTATATTCCATTAACTATAATATTAGATTTTAGAAAAGAAATATTATTCTAATAGTAAGCATTTACATGTGAAAGCACATGTAAAACAACATAAAATTAAAGTTGTAAAAATTGATATGTTAGAAAACATATAAAACAAAGTAAAAAATGAATTTGTAATCTAATTTTAAAGGAGGGGCTGAAATGGTTTAAAAGAATCAATGAGATTTGAGGTTAATTTGTCAATAATTTCCATAGGGGACTGTCTTGGTCAAATTCATAAAGTGGAGTGGCTAAATTGGTCGATTAGACCAAAAATTGAAATTAAGGAAAAGGGGTCAGGTCTCCGTTTTCTTCAATTTGAGAAAAAGAAACAACCGATCGAAGAAAGGGATCTAATGGTGTTCGATCGAGAAAAGAAGCAGGGGGAGGATCTCTGGGGTTTCGTTGGACCGAAGGAAAAAGAAGAAAAGAAGCAGGAAGCTGCTATCGATTCTTGGTGGGTGAAGGTTTGAAAAGTTGAGGACCTCCGATGTTCGAATGGTTCGCAGAAAAGTGAAGAAGCAGCGAGCCTACTTCTTTTCTGCTCTTACAGTAATATGCGAATGAGGATGGGGGAAGGTGGGCGTCGAGAGAGAGAGAGAGAGAGAGAGAGAGAGAGAGAGAGAGAGAGAGAGGGGGGGAAAGGTCTTTGGTCCTCAGTTGGTCCGAGAAAAAGAATTATGATTGAAGGTAGGAAGTGGGTCGGTCTTCTGTTCATATACACGAATTGATTGGTATTTGAGCTTGTAATCTATGTAATTGTACAAGTATCGATGAGAATTGAGGAAATTAGGGTTCCTTTATATTTTCTTAGCTAGCAGAGTTTCGTTGTACTTGTAGTAATCGTGCAGGAGGTCTTTTGATGTATTTCGTTGTTGGTTATCTTAGTCATATCTGATACATAATTACACTTTGGTGACCTAAGTTTTAGATGCCTAATCCATGTGTTCGATATGCTCGGTGAACAACAATTAGTTGATCATTCTCCTAACGTGTTTTATAAAAATAACGCTTAGATTGCATTACGGAATTGATGAATATGCTGTGCAGGTAGAACTTGCTAGTCTTGATTGGCTTTATGGGTGCTCCTAAGCAGAAATGGACATCTGAAGAAGAAGCAGCTCTAAAAGCTGGAGTTCTTAAGCATGGAGCAGGAAAATGGTGCACAATTCTTAAAGATCCAAAGTTTAGCAGTGTGTTATACCTGCGCTCTAATGTGGATATTAAGGTTTACATCTTTTCAAATGGAATTTTCTGCTGGAGGTTATTACATATATGAAATTTTCTTTTAATCATTGGTTCATTGACTTGGATCAGGACAAATGGAGTAACATGAGTGTAATGGAAAATGGATGGGGATCTAAGGAGAAGGCTAGGTTAGCCCTGAAAAGAGTGCAACATGTCCCTAAGGATGACAACCTTCTCTCACTCACAACTGCTGATCCCAGTGATGAAGACTCGGGTGATGTGAGGCCTCTTCAGTCTTCTAGTGGTTCTCCACAAGTTGGTGCTTCAAAAAGATCTATGATAAGGTTAGGCCCTATTTCTTTGTTCTTTTTCACACTAACTGTTGTATGGATAAATGATGATGAATTGTTGTATGGATAAAGTGATGTGTGAACAAAGACTATTTCTTTGTTACATTGAATAAACCTTCTGAACGACAGTAAATGATGATTGTACCCTTTGTCTGGAACTAATGTTGACATCAACTGACAAATAGCTACAAATATCCCACATACATTGAGGTATATGTGTTACCAGAATGGCAGATTGATTATATAATGTGCTATTTATTATACATTAGGGATATCTCTTATGAATCATGGTTATTTAGTCTCTAGGAAGATGATGTTATCAATAGTTATAGTGTATGACCATTTTACCTTTTGTGTCATTAACAGGCTGGACAATCTTATGATGGAGGCAATAAACAACTTGAAGGAGCATGGTGGCTCTAATAAGACTACCATTGGCACATACATAGAGGTATCTGTGTTATATTGTGTTTTTTTAGCTTTTAACTTTCAGTTTCTTTTTAATCAGCATGTTTAATAATAGATAATGGGAATATATAGTTTAATTGATTAGTTTATTACAAAATTATACTTTAAATTATTCGTAAAAGATACATATAAAGACACATCGATTAAAACAACAATGGATGAAAGAGGAAAATGAATACATCTTACAGTACTTTCATGCATATGTTAAATAGACATACGTAAAAGTAAATCCAATATGCATCCAATTTAATAAAGAGAAAAAGCGGGAGAATGGAGAGTAAAGAAACCCCAAAAGATGGTATAAAAAGAGATAGAGAGGAGTCGTATATACAGATAGATTACATATTAAAGAAAACTAAACTTAAACCTTATTAACAAGGATTGAATGAAAATGATCGAGTTAAATGGATCTGAAATGATTAATCTAAGATTGGATGTAGAGAGGTGTAGGAAAACAATGAATGAATGTAATAGTCAATCATATAACGAGATTATGAGAAAATTAACTTTTGCAAAGTAGCTCATAAGCAGAATCGTGGATACCAAAGCATGTAGATCTTATAGTCATTTATATGGGTATGCATTTATTTCCAGCAGATTTTTTGTGTTTTACTTACCTGATAGCTCGATAATTTTAAGAATGCTGAAAAGAAGGAATATATTAGATGGATAATAGTAGTATTTTGAAAAGATAATTTTAAGAATGCAGATTTTTTGGGATTTAATCACGGAAAATTATTTAATTTCCAATCACAATAAAAAAAACTTCCATATAAATCGGGTATTTTGAATTTCAAATTTGAATAACCGATTTTTGTATATTATTTGCAAATATTTTATTCATTTTAAAATTTTGATTGCATTTTTTGACTGCAGTTTTTTCCGGATTAATTGCCTCTATTTGAAGTGAAGGGCATTTACGTAAATGGACCTGAAGAAAAGAAGCGGGAAAACTATATTTTGGGGGTCTGGGAGACTGACACGTAGCACTATTCTACTTATTTATTAGGATAGGGGATACGCAACATGTTGGAATTTTTCATTCAATTTTTTCCGTCAAACAAACATGACAATAGAATATAATGATCTATTCTATTACCTTGGTTATTACATCACATATTGCATCGTTCCAAACAAAGATTGGTTTTCATGTTTGGTTTGAAAATTCTTTCCAAACAAAAACCTAAAATGATTGACACCCGTATTTCAATATTACCAAAGTCCTTTCAAACTTTTTTTAACCATGTTCTTATAACTTTTTTAATTATAAAAAACATTATTATTGGATGGTTTTGTATTTAATTTGTGTATAAAACTAAACTGACAAATATGTCCTTTACATTTTTTTTTCGATCTTCTTTAACTATCTTAATTTATATATGTTATTATATAAGAAAGAGGCTCACACACACCCAAGTGCCCATTTCGCCGCTCCCTTCTTAGCTCACATTCATAAGGTAACCTTCCTCATCCATTCATTGGTGACCCTTTCCCCGTAATCACCGAGATGGTTTTTTTCAATACGGATCATAAAAATGTTATTCATTTTCTTAATCTTAAACCCTAAAAGTAAATTCAGTTAACATCCAAAAGTTAAACTAAACCATTAACGGTGACATCAATGTCAGATTCTAGCGGCTCGCAAGGAACAATTATATCACTTTACTTTCACCGTTGCGTTGCCATTTTATTCATCTTTTCAATTTGTTGTTGGAATCTATGTAGTCAATCGTGATGCTATAGCGTTGTTATAGCGTTTAGCAGAGGTAAAGAAACACTATTTGAAAATAACGGTGATGCTATTAGCTCCGTTACCGTGATTGTGGTCACTGCTATACCGACGCTGTAATCATTATTTAAATAAATTCTATTTTTGGGTTATTTTACATTAAAAAAGAGCGTTTTTTTTGTGTCATTTCATTCAATAAAATTGTTTTTTCTTAGCCCAAACCAAAAATTTTGTGACATTACATTGAATAAAATTGTACTGTAGCTGTCGTGACTTACATTGAAACTATGTATGTATTATCTTGCTAATTTTGTTGAAGATTTAATCAAATTATTTAATTATTTTATTTGCAAACTGTGATTATGTTGAAGTATAATAAAATGCTAAGTATTACTTATATTTACTTGTTAATTGTGTTAAAGTATGATTAAATATTATGATATGCAAATCATGATTAACTAAATATGATATGTAAAGTATGATCTAATGATTAATTAATTAATTAGATTGGGTTGAACTTTGAAGTATGATTTACTGATTAATAGTCTAATATACATAAATTCTACATAATATAAAAACGTTATATCACCGCATGAACCATGATTTCAAATAGCGGCCGGTGACCGTGATAATTGCTTAGGTTGGAACCAATGTAGACTCATATACTAAAATGATTAGATTGTTCAAAATTCCATATTTCATACATGTCTTGTGGATTAGGCATTCATATTCTGGAGTAAATCGTCCCTTTAAAAGCCATTTTCGTGGACCCCTTATGCAAAACAAGAATGGAGATGCACTCTCGATCAAGTGGTTCGATCTCCCAAATTTACCTGTACAGACAAAAAAATAAACATTTCCTTAGATACTATTATGGCGGATTCAAGACATGCTTTCAGTTTCTTGGATAGGTAAAAACCTATATAGGTTTTTCTTTAGTTGCATGTATTTTTCAAACAAGGCGTATTTTGAGTGATTTGATGAAGGACTACCTAATAATTAGTAGAATGATAAAAAAAATTGAAATACGAAAGCAACTAAATAATATAAGTTAGGGTCGGTCCTGACGGTGGGCAACCCGGGCGACCGCCCAGGGTCCACGTCTCCAAGGGGCCCAAAATTTAAGGGTTATGTAGTATATATATAAAAAAAATTATTACCTCAATGATTTTTAGGATTTAAAGTTGTTTAAACTCAAACTAGCTCAAAACATAAACAATTTGGCTTAATTGTTATTGCTAATTGAACGTGTTTATAGTGAAAAAATAAATGATATTTTTTTGAATCTTTATTATATTTGTCTTTAAGGGGCCATTTTTTTTCTTTTCGCCCTGGGCCCCATATACATTTGGACCGGCCCTGATATAAGTAAGCATCCTTGTCAACCTAATGTTCAAATATCAATTTAAGCAAACATTATAGTCTAATATGTTATTTTTTTTATTAACGTTTTAATTTTTGTATGTGTCAATTTCATTAGATTTAATGTTTCGGTTGTTTTGATGTTGTTTAGAATTAATCGATGAAAGAGAAATATCCTAATTACAATATGCTTGTAAGGTCCTTGTATGATAAATGAAAATGGAAAGTTTGTTTTTATATGAAAATGACAAACTAGTATTTGTATGAAATGATTGATTGGTAGTTTGGCTTCAAAATAACAATATGATGTTTACCATATAAACCGCCTTACCAAAATACACCTTAATTACTTGTTAAAGTAAGTCAACAAAGTTCATTAATGTGATGAACTTTTAAATTTGAAAAGAAGAATACATGTATATAGCATGTTGGTCCTCATCTATGACCGACAAAGATCATAAGATCAAACAATTCATGTAACTTTAAATTAAATTTATGGGGTTGTCGGTCAATATAATTTGTTTCTTTGTTGGTGGAGTGGGCCCCCAATTTCTTTCTACTTAATTCACGAACTCTTTCATATTACTAGACATGGTAATCAAGACTTGTGATATCTGCCTAATGACTATCTATTGAAGGTCCACGAATTCCAATGCCAGTAATGGGATCTCAAAGTTATGCAAGCAGCCTCGGAAATCCTTGAACCGCAAAATCAAGTCCAATGCGATGTTGTCAACAAAATTTTGTGGTATAACCTCCAAGATGCTACTTTAGATTATGTTGACTGTAGTGACATGGTGGATTGTTGTGAATGTGACAGAATCGGTAGAGTTTAAGAACTTGAGGTGAAAATTATATTCTAATGCAAAAACTAAGACATTTTTCTACATTTCAGATCGGGGTTTTCATTTCATACACTGTTTTACGTGTACATTAAGTAGGGATGAGCATCGGAACCGGGTACCATTTTTTGGAATTGGAACCGCCTCGGAACTGCCGGTTTTAGAATAAAAACCGCCTTAAGCGGTTCCGGTTCCTAAAGTAATGGAACTGCCTTAAGCGGTTCCAGTTCCGGTTCACATTTTTTCGGAGCCGCTACCCGTTGGGTACCCACCGAAACCGTTTTATATATTGGTCCGATTTTGTCCGTCTTTGGTCCGAATTGATTCGATTTGGATCGAATGGAATTGCAGTTTTATCGAAAAAAGTTAACAGAATTAATGTAACTGGGTTACCCGCTGTCGGAACTGGAACTGCCGGTTTCGGGACTGATTTCAAAAATTTAAGAACTGCTTAGAGCGGTTCCGATTTTAACTTTCTAGAAAACGTCGGTTCCGATTCTCGCCAAAAGAGAGGCAGCTACCCGCCTATGCTCGTCCCTAACATTAAGGGTGTGTTCGGCACGCAACTTTTGGGAGCTTGTGGCTTCTAGCTTTTAAGATAATGCAAGTAAAAAAGAAAAAAACTTCATTTGGTGACAGGCGTTTAGATTTTAACCTAAACAAAATGTTCTAAAATCAAAAGCTACATGGAGTATCTTTCAACAAAACACTTCAAAATCAAACGTTACCTGCTACCAACTAGTTTCCCGAACACATACAAAAATTTTAAACAACTTACATGGTACACCCTAATCTCAATGGAGTGTCACATCATCATTCACTATTCCATATAATTCTATTTATTTTTATCCCACAATGCATTAAACTCTACAAGTTTAATGGAACATATTAAAAAAATATTTATTTAAAAATTTAAAGATTTTCCTTTTTTCCATTGAAGAGTTCAATGGTCATTGAACTTCAAATTCATTGAATGTCAATGTGGAATTTCACAATGATGGAATTGTATATATTGGATGACAAGTAGGCTTGACACCTCATTTAACTATTCCATTAAACTTCTTATTGTAGATGCTCTTAGTCTCTATTCCGATTTAAGAGAGTCTAAAACATCATTTTAAGATGGAATTAATGGGTATGACATTAAGGATTTTTTTTATAAATAAGGGGCATAAACAAATGATTTTCCATATCATGAGTTTGAAATGACATATTTCCGATTCGATGGTCAAGGGTAAAATCTTGGTCATTTTTAATAGTTCTGACAAATTATCTGCTCAATTTTGTGATTATGCCTTATTCTTAAAAAGTTAGAGTTGTTCATCCAAATTCTTTGTGGGCCATATGTAAATAAAAGTAAAAATAATAAATAGTTTATGCCATTAATAGATATTTTCCAACAAGACTCACAACCACAGACAGAACACACTAAAAGCTTTCAAAAAGCAGCTCTTTGGATTACGCTACAAGTATACGGCACAGTATATATCCGACAACTGTGGCACGAACGCGTCACAAAGCCGTCGTTTTAGTGGTAGACCCCGTAATATCCCCATGCAATCATGCACTATTGCTTCATTTATCTATCTTTTATAATTATATGTGTATAATCATGCCTACATAACACATGAAATACGTAAATCTTTTGGGTATTTTGTAACCGAGTTATGAATTCCAGAGGGAATCGTCAGGTACTTCATTCCAGTCACTAGTATATTCAAAGTTTGCATCGTTGGAAAAATACATTCCCGGGTTGTAATTATATTCCATCCAATTTTCTGGGGTATCAAGTGGCGAATCATTGATAGCCTGGATTTCGCTAGCCGAAAGTCCAATGTTGGTGGGGACATACTGAGCCGAGCCTGAGCCAGTATCGAGCTCTGCTGTGGAGGGTTTAACCAGCAATGCAGCCTGGTGAGCAGCCACCCGTATGTCGTCAGCACTGGGGCTAGCCGGGATTGGGAGAGCTGTAGCCATTTGTGGAAAATTGAGAATGGCATTGTCTCTCCGAAAGTAAAACGATGCTGCATCGTATGCCACTGCTGCCATTTCTGGTGTGTCAAAACTCCCAAGCCAAATGCGAGATTTGGTCAATGGATCACGTATTTCAGACACCCATTTCCCCCATTTGCGCTTGCGGACACCACGGTAGACTGAGGAAGTCCCGCCACCATGGGTTGAATGAGTGTCGCTCATTGTTAAAATAGGTTATTAGAATATGGGAAAATGGAAATGCATGCTGAGAATATGCAATCTAGCCACGTATTTATACATGTGGATCCAACAGTTAATTAAGATTATTTTGAGACAGGGGTCTGTTTGTTATTAGGGTAAAATATAGGGACATAACTTTATTGAACTTCCCATGTACCTTCCAAACATAGTTATAATGCTTTCATCAACAGAATAATCATTTTTATGTGCTTGGTCTTGACCAATGAGTGTCTGCCACGTTATGATAAGAATGTGTGGGGTTTTCTAATATATGCACTTGTTAGTGAGCACTTCGAATTTGGAAAACAGAGAGATCAGTTGGTGACAGGATTTTTAATCATAACGCGGTGTCCATTCCAATATACAAGTTCCGTCTACATACATACATATACACATACATACATGATACATCTATACATACATATGTACTTCTAAACTTGTATACATGATATAACACATGTACACACATACATGCATATATTCACACACTACTACAAAAAGGGTACTATGTCAAACATAATACGAGAGCCCATTTTAATTGTCACATAGAACTAGAGATGCACAAACGATACGGATTGTGTAAGAAACTGGTGCGGTTTTGCGACTAAACGGGGGTTTGGAATCATGGAACCAGTTTGGATAATACCCGGTCACACATATCCATTGGAAAAGTGATTTTGTTTTGTCAAATGGTGATAATAGCCATTTGTGACTTTTTATTTTTATTTTTATTTTTTTATTTTTTTATTTTTTTAATGGTGGTACTCATCTATATATACTTATAAATTACACAATATATATTTGAAACGTTCGATTTTTCAATTTCTTTATAATAATTATTATAAATATGTTGATAATGTTAAATTAATACAAAAACCACATTATAATCATATAAATCAATTAAATTACAATATTGAAATATCATATTTTACTTCTATTTATAAAATTATAACTTTAACTTTTTAACATATTATAGTTAACTTATCAGTTTAGATATGTTGTCCTATGAGAGCAATTATCATTTTAAAGTTATAATTTTTTTTATGTAAAATAGTTAAATTATTAATTTCAATATCATGTTAAAGGGTTAACATAAATTAAAATTTCAGTTATACTTAAAAAAATCGTGAGACTTTTTTTATAAATAGCTAAAAGTTATAAATTATAATGTTAAACCTAAATGTAATCCTAAATTAACAAAAATAATCCATGAAACCATTTTTTATAATCATTAAGAATTTCCAAATAAGTAGTTTAAAAATAACTTACAATAAAAATAATTAAAAGTAATATTATATAAAAATTAAAATGTTATATTTATAAACAAAAACAATGTTTGTTGTTTTAAATAGTTACAAACAAAGAAACTAACAATACTCATCAAATAAAATTTTCAATTTTTGAAACCAAATTAAAATAATTAAAAGTTTCCAAATACATTATTTGAAATAACTTACAACAATAATAGTTAAAAGTAAAATTATATACAAAAATTATATTGTTATATTTAAAAACAAAAACAATATTTGATGTTTTAGATAATTACAATGATAGAAATATCATTAAACCATATACTATATTTAATTTTATTCATGAGTAACTCACGGGTAGAAATCATTGAGACAATTGAAATTATAGAATTTTAAAAGATGTCTATATTATCATATTAATAAAAACAAACAATGTTTATACTGAAACATTCAAAAAATCATGACAAAAATTTCATTTCTAAATCATTAAATAAACCATAATTAATAACATCATCTTATCAAAACAGAAACCATAGTATCTCAAAACATCATAATTAGTATATCCATAACAAAACACATGTCAAGTATATCAGAGTAACATCAAAGGCTAAACATCATGGTGTGTGCAATGCAGTCATCTTGATCCCTTCCCCTTGCTACCGGAAGTACTTGAAACCAAAACTGAAAACTGTATGCACGAAACTTAGTAAGTCTCCCCAAACTAATACATACCTTACACATAAGATGCAACTAGGAGATACGGGCCTCACCCACACTCAAAGTGATATGAGCCTCGCCCACACTGGGCTAACGGGCCCCACCCTATGAAAAATAGGCCCCACCCACACTCATTTATTTAGGAGATATGGGCCCCGCCCACACTTAGCTAACTAGAGATACAGTCCCCGCTCACACCGACTACTTAGTGAGATTTGGGCCCCACCCACACTCGACTAACTAAGAAACACATATAAGTATCACACAGACAACATGTATTATCAAATCTATCAATCCATAGCCATACCCAAAATAAAGCTAAGATACAGGCCTTGCCCACACTTAGCTACTATCAACACATATAACATACACAAGCCGGTACACATAGCACATAATTTATATTAAAATACTTCATATCTATGTGTAAGATGAAAGGGACTATGCACTCACCTGATAAGGTGGTGACTCTGAATTCAGACCGTGCTTCGTTACTTTTAAAACAATTTCCCTCGACAAAACTTAGTATCATTACCACTAGGGTTTAGTTTAATATTCACCGAGACTAATTAATAGTCTATTGTTATTACTATTATATAAGCGTTAAACAATACTTATATAACCCATAATAATAGCCCAAGTATTTATTATAAGTTCCTAATAACGTTACTATAACTAAATAAAAGCTATATTAAAAATAGCGTAGGCGTAGCTCACTTACAACAGTTTTTTCTCAAAACCGGGCGCCGCTGGAACAGCGTTCTCGAGCCAAAAAGCTCTTCTTCTCGGAACCTTGTCGGTTCCGTCGCGAAACTTCGACGGGTTATAACTTCTTCGTTATAACTCGTATTTCAGCACTCTTTATATGTACGGAACCCTTGAGACATATTTTACAACTTGGTTAAGATTATTTATTCTAAATAATCTGTTGTCGAAAAGTCGTTTTCGACCGGTTCCGTCGCGAAACTTCGGCGAGTCATAACTTCTTCGTTATAACTCGTATTTCGACGCTCTTTATATGTACGGAACCCTTGAGACATTTTACAACTTGGTTAAGATTATTTATTCTAAATAATCTTTTGTCGAAAAGTCGTTTTTGACCCCTATTATCTCTAAATTGACTAGTCCGGATCTACGGGCGTTACAGAAACCCTAATTTCTGGGGTTTTACACCCTATTTAAAGGATCATTAGCCTCCTTTGGCCTCCCCTCATCGTCCCCTTGAGCTCTAAAATCCTAATTCGTGGGTGCACTCCATTTTGTATGATTTTCATGCTTGGAAGGTGATTTGCAAGAAGAAGACTTGAAGTATAAGAGGATTAGTGCAAAGAGGAGTTGGTGGATCTGACTCTTCTGCTTATTGGCATCAGTTTGAAGGTAGCAAGTCGTTACCTTGACCTTCCCTCCTTCTAGATCTCTTCATGTTTAAGATTAGGGATTTTCTAGAATGTATATTAACCATTTTTGGGTATGGGCTAGGATTTGAAGTTGCAACTTCTAATATGAGCTTATCTTGGTCTCTATAGCTATAAAGTTTCCAACTTTAGCAAGTATGAACCTTCCCTTTTGATTTAAACCCCATCATAAGCTTGGATTTGATATTCTAAGCCTTTAGAGCCTTGCATGCACGTAAAGTTTGGAACTTTACGTAATAAACATGCCTTGGGAAGCTTGATCTGTAATGTGGAGCTTTAGGTGGCTTAAAAGCATCTGAATGGAGAAAGGACTGAAGGGACTCGACGAGTTGCATGGACAACTCAGCGAGTCCAATGAAGATTATCGTGCAAGGATTTCTGTATAGACTCAGTGAGTCGGTAGGATGACTCGGCGAGTCAGCCAGGGTTTTTCCCGACTTTTGGGCATACATGGACTCGGCGAGTTGCAGGGAAACTCGACGAGTCAACTGGGGGATTCATGTGACATCACCAATTTCACGGCCAGAAAAAACCAATTTGTTTATGCTTCATTTTGTAAAATCAGAGTAATCCTTTGATTAAAGGAGTTGTGGAATTTGTTCCCAAAACAAAATATGATAAGAATTTATCAAAAATATTTCTTAAATAAATGTATTTTCATTTATAACGAAATCTCGGGATGTCATGTTCCAATACAGGCACATAAGCATAAACAGAACTTACATTTAATTACACTAATGATTTACATCTCCTTTAATCTCTCAGTGACATAAGTCTTCGTGTTGATACCTGTGAAACAAAGAAAACTGAGAGGGTCAGGCTTGAGAGCCTGGTGAGCATATAGGGTTTTCAACCCACAATAATATAATTATTATATTTAATCATCAAACAATCAACCAAATTACTCATCCCCATTATCTTCTTTAATTCTTAATGTTTTACCCTAAGAATCAACTATCCTTCAATCATTCATTTTTAAGGATTGACCTGAGGAATTGGTACAAAATCCATCGCTACACAAGGTGCATCTGCCAAGGTTATCCTTCAAGCGCCTCTGCCCGGATTACAACATACACTATTAGGCGTATATGCCGGCATTATGACATTCTATTTTAGGTGCATTTGTTGACATTATCCTTTGAGCGCATCTGCCAGGATTACGACTTTCACTATTAGGCGCATCTACCAATATTATAAGCGCATCTGCTAGTATTATGACATTCTCTATTTGGTGCATCTGCCAAAATTATTCCTAAGCGCATCTGTTAGTATTATTACATTCACTATTGGTGCATCAATATTATTCTTAATCATCTTTCGCACCTCGTCATTTATCTACCTGTGTTTTCCCCAACATAATAGTAGATATAAAACACATATATAGTTTAACTTATTTAAAACCTATACCAAACATTGCATTCAACACCAATCTCAAATAAACAAACAACTTATTAACACATATCACGTATTTTATAGTCAATACTTCGTATTCAACACTCATCGCAGATAAACAAACAACTTATTACATTCAAACAATACTTGTATTAAAATCATGTTATGAAAGGGACTATACACTCACTTGATCAGAAGATGATCGAATAGCACTATGGCTTGTAGAAGTAGTATTCTTCGGTGAAACCAGGATCACTTCGCACACCGGGCTTCTCGCAGGCAGAGCTTCGGCTCGGAAAGTCTTTTCTTCTTGGGATCTTCAGGCTTCAGGACTTGCTTTGGGTCTTGGGATGATACAGGGCTTCAGGGGGTTAAAATACGGCTTAGAAAGAGTATCGGGAGTGAGAGAGTGATAAAGTAGCAACCTAAATTGGATGCCCTTCGGTTTCTATTTATAGGGCTGATTTTATGGATTCACGTTGTGAATCTCAAATATTCACTTCGTGAGTTCAGTCGTCACTGCATGCGTCATCGCAAGTTGCGTCTGTCAGGCTCCAGAAGTCATAAATAGTGGGTTCACGTCGTGAACACTGTATTCATATCGTGAACTCTGACAGTTTTGGGGTTTTGCGCCCTGAACTTCAGAAATTCATAACTTTCGCATACGAATTCCGTTTTCGACATTATTTTTTTACACGCGTAGGTAAAAACAAGATCTACAACTTTCATTTAGACTTCATCGTCCGTTTTCGTTTATCTTTTTACCGTTGGACTACTATCGATGAGATATTCAATTCTCGTTTAGATTGTTTCAGCTAAATATTGCTCGATCTCATATTCGAACTTCGGGTTGTACACTCCTAAGCCGAAACTTCAAAAAATCATAACTTCCTCAAAAGAAGTCAAATTTGGGCGTTCTTTTCATGCACGCTCTCGGTTTAGCGTATTCTACGACTTTTGTTTAGATCGCTAAATCCAAATATCGCTCTATCGTAAATTCACTATTTACATCGCACTGTGTCATGTTGGTTTTGTCGTTAAACTTCGACAGATCATAACTTCTTCGTTATAACTCGGATTTCAACATTCTTTATATGCACGGAAACCTTGTTACATATACTACAACTTGGTTAAGATTAATCCTTCTAAATAATCTTCCATCAAAAAGTCATTTTTAACACTCAATGTTTCTAAATTGACTAACCCTGATTTACGGGCATTACAATTCACGACTTCTCAAGTTCTGGAGGGACTTGACGATTCAGTGAGTTGCACATGATGATTTAGGTCAACATGGACTATTGACCTTGACTGTTAACTTTGAGTTTAACCAATGATTAACTACTTGACTTCTCGGGTATTTTGGTAAATTGGAAATTTATGGAAATGGTCTTATGGTAGTTATAGGTGGTGTAGTTCATGGACGTGGTTCGAGAATTTGAGTTTATCATTTCGATTCGACAGTTTAAAGGCAAGTTATCCTCACTATACTAAGAGGTCGAAGGCACCACTATCGGCCCATTGGATATGATATCCTAGCAGTTGGTATTATGTTGAGTATGAGTTAGTTATGCATACTAGTTGCTATGCCAGTTTGGTAGGTCAGTAGGATTACTTGTGTTATTATCTGTTTATCTGTATGTGTAATAGTTATGTTATATGTCGACATATTATGTGGGATGGGTTGAGGTTGTACTGCTCCGTGCAGTAACCAACAAACCCTAGAGTATTCCAGATATATGAGCTGAGGGCCGAGTAGGGCATGCCAAACTCCATATATATGAGGGTCCGGCAGGGGATGTTGGACTCATACTGAGGACTCAGGAGCATTCCAGATACGAGTTGAGGGCTGGGTAGGGCATGCCAAACTCGTACCGTGGGCTTAGGAGCATTCCAGATACGAGCTGAGGGTCAGATAGGGCATACTAGACTCGTACTGTAGGCTCAGAGGCAATCCAAATGTGAGTTGTGGGCCCGAAAGGCAAGCCGGACTCATACTGTAGGCCCAGGGGTAATTCAGTCTGTAAAGTTGTGGACCCAGTACATGTTATTTGTATATGTGTTATTTGCAGTGTATCAGTATTTTAGGGGAACTCACTAAGCTTTGGGCTTAACGTTTCAGTTTTTGTTTCAGGTACATCCGATGATCGCGGGAAGGCAAAGGCGTGATCGTACAACTTCTCACATTTATGAATTTGTGTCTGGGATACTCTGATATTATACTATTTTAAAAACAAGTTTTGTAATGATTAATGGTTTTGAAATGATTTTTTTTAATTTAAATTTGTTATGATTTTTATGGATGTTACAGTTTCTGATGGATAGAAGAGAGAAATGGTCTTTAGGTTTTAGGGTTTTGAGAAGAGAGAGAGTATTCATTCAAAAGGGGTGGGGTGTATGTGGTGGGGCCCATTGCCTTTTCTAAAATAATAATATTAATAATAATAATAATAATAATAATAATAATAATAATAATAAACAATATAAATTAAAATATTTTGTAATATTTAAAATGAATCAAAAACATTAAAAATAATTGAAAAAGAACAGGGCAATATCATCATTTTATGTTATTAGAGAATAAGCATGCAACTTTTTAAGATTCAAAGGACAATCCGAATTAATTTTGATAATAATACTCAGGGGGTGTTTGTTTAATCTTTTAAAACATCTTTTAGCTTTTAGGAAAAGATAAAAAGGCAAAAGATGTTTGGTAATCTTATAAAAGCTACTTTTTTATATAAGGAAAATGAACTTTTTGGAAAAGTCATAGAAACCTGATTTTTCACAACTTTTCCAAAAAGAACTTTTGCCCTTTCAAAAGCTTAGCCAAACACCCCCTCAATGTGTCTTTTGGCACTGATATAGATAAATTACTCTATATTAAATATAAAATCATTAAGTATAAAATGTTGATGCGTTAACTTTGTAAGGTTATATTCATTAAAGAATCTTTAAGAGAAAGTTGTATTTGTAAGGTTATATAAATTAAAGAAGTAGGTTATAACCCGTGGAAACCACAGTTATAATATAAATTAAATATTTATAAAGAAAGTTATAATTACTAATCAATTATTGTAATAAACAACTACAGTAAATGAAGTAAATTAAATTTTTTATGTAATTAGTTAATTAAGTTGTTCAAATAAACATATACGAAAAAATATAACAAATCAAAACTGAAAATTACAATAAAATTTTATTAAAAATAATAAGAATAAATGTTATATGAAATAGTATTGTACAAGATATTTACAGATTTCTAAGGTTATATTCATTAAAGAATCTTTAAGAGAAAGTTGTATTTGTAAGGTTATATTCATTAAAGAATCTTTAAGAGAAAGAGAAAGTTGTATTGGATTGTACAATGATGACGTGATAGTTCTTTAAACTCTAATGAAATGGTATGCACCGGAGTCCTGAGATGCTCTAAGAATTGCATGGTAGAAAGAGAGGGTGTGCAAAAGCTGCTTTAATAAAAATCTTGCATTTTTTTTTCTTTAAATATGACTATGTGGATCAGTGGATCATACACAAATATTGACCTTAAATCTTTTATATTACTTTTTGTTTGTCCACGATGATCTATAGATCAATCCAGCTGTTTCAGGATTCTTTATATATATATAATGATATAAGACAATTTCATAACATTTTTATATACAAAGAACATTCTTTTTGACTTTTGTTTTGTTTATTCTACAAGTGTTGTTGTAAGTTCAACACAAACCAGTTGAATTTTTTTATATATTTGGTTGGATATGATTGGTTCAGAAAAAAAAAGTCTTTGCACTAGTTTGATCCAATAGTACCAAATAAAATATGGGTTTCATCAATGGTACTTGAATATACCCCCGGTGAATATATGAAAGCCCAAAACAAAGACGGCAGGAAATTTTAATAAATTACAAATATAGCAAAATACACTGATATAGTGTTAAAAATAAAAAAGGCAACATTTGGTAGATGAAAAGTCAAAACAATAAACTTAGCGGCATCTCTTCTTCCTCTTGTTCTTGTTCCTTCCCTTGAGTTGTTTCTCTAGATTTTTGATCCTATGGTTGAGGAGTAATGATGATGATAGTCTTTGAGTTGTAGATTTACGTTCTTCTGAAGTCGGCTTCTGACATGGAAGTGATGAGCAAGTTACACTGTGGTTCGTGGGCTTAGGTTGGGTGGCAGGAGATGGCGGTGGAGGCACTATTATGGGTATATTCAGAAACTTCTTCACAGAGGGTTTCTTTATTGCTGAATCAAGAACAGCAGGAAGAAGATGACGAAAATTGTCCGATCAAAAACTATTATAAAATGAAATATAATATATATATATATATATATATATATATATATATATATATATATATATATATATATATATATATATATATATATATATATATATATATATCTAAGTAGTGGAGTAACTTACTGAGTCCGAATAAAAGAGAGAACAAGTTGGAGGTGATCCAATAACAGAAGAGAGCCTGCAAAAATATGAAAGCGGTGTTTAATTAATACGTAATTTTGGAAATCAATAAAGATAAAACTTCCTCTGTATCATATCAACCAATTATTTCATTCCTACAAAGCCACTTCTAAATCATACTCAGCCATATTTAGCTAACTGAAAAGTTTCAACAAGTGAGAACGACGTCGGAAGAAAAAGAGTTGTGATGTGATAGATAGATACGTTTGGGAAACTTGCTGTAAGAGGAAGTGTAAGAGCAGCACCACCCCTTGCAATGTTTTTCCAGACACCACCACGCTTACCTTCCTGCATGGTAAACTGAGGAGCACAACATACAATAAAGACAAAGGAATCCAAAAGGTGACATGGCAACTGAAACAATTATTAACAACAATGTTTTTTTTTTTACCTCGACAGTTATCCAGCATGAAATGGCAGCCAATAAAGGAAGAATATAGAAAGCATCAGCAGTGGTAAGGTCGATGAACCAAGATGCCCCACCAGTTTGAAAAGATGGAACCTTTTCCACCATCTTCTCAATCTGCACATTACACCTTACTCAAAACTTACAACACATTCCAAAGATTGAAGCTGCCATTTGAGATATATTAATATATTTGACTTACAGCAAGGAAAAAGCTGACAAAGACAGGGGCTTGGATGAAAAGCCTGGTCAATTGAGTATACATAGCAGCAGAATACCTGCACATATATTCAGTTCCAATTATAACATCATGTCAAGCAGAAGCTCAGATTAAACAAGGGAAAGTGCTTAATTACTCCATATATACTCTCTTCTTTTGTGCCTCAACTTCAGCAACAGCCGTTGGAGTCATGCTCTGAAAAGGTTATTAACAATTTTTAATAATAAAATTAAGCAAGGGCCTATGAGTTTCACCTTCTTAAAAGGATAAGCATGTCTAATTCAATAAACAAACATTAAGAGCACTGAACATGCATGGAGGAATTAAGTCCCCCAGCCTTCTATTTACATCAACAATTAATTATTCGTGACCAAAAGTTACGTGGTAGCATCAAAGGATAATATTGATTCACAAGCATGTTATTCAATAGCTTTAACTTCCGTTTTGAAACAATATATTACAATTTAAACAAAGGTGGCTCTTTATAGGTAGTGCAACTGCGTAAACATGAACTTTTCATCTATGTAACATGTAACATGACAGATGACAGAAGAAGTTTGATGATGGAAATACCTTATCTTGCATCTTTTGCTGAATCTGCTCCAATTCTGGCCCCAAAATCTGCATGCAAAATGTCAACAGATCAATGCTACCTCTGAACAAGATAACTCAATATACTATTATACTCAGAACTCAGGACACATATATTGCCATTGGCTTTCAACTCCAAATGTATGAACTAATAAATATGTTAGGCAAATGAGTAGAGCTCACAGTTAACTTTGAGGCAACCTTGTGCTGATTAATCGTGATTGGAGCCAACAAGGTTCTAATAGCAACAGTTGCTATTACTATGCTTGCCCACCTGAAAGTGACAGAAAATGAATTAATATTAATTCTTTCAATAATCAATATACATATGCATCGGAAGTATAGCACATAACATGATCGATCATGGAACTGTAACAACTTCAACTAGGCATTGACATTTCATTGTTATACATGAGTCATGACATACAAACTACAAGCCAGTAGATGCCTCTGTCATTAAAAGCTTATTAATTATGTCAGAACAGAGTATAACATGGTTTTTGAATACTTCTACACTATAAAGGCACCCATTAGAAGGTATATTGATTCTAGTTTGTTCGATAAGCTATGTACGGATTTTAATCAAAACAAAGTGACTTTTACCTCAAATCATAAACTAAAAACAGATCACGATGCAAAGTATGTTCGCAGTAGCCTTAACAGAGTCATACAAATGTATCTATCTCATTACCAATTCAATCCCGTAAAGTTATGAATCCCATCAATGGCATGCTGCAAAACTGCAACTGGTGGCCAAGATTCCGCAGCAGCAGCAGCAACTTCACTCGTGGTGGAGATATTTCTAGTTAACAAGAACCCATTTGTCGTCAACGGTGCATGAAGAAACTGAGACCATCTCGGATCTCGAAAACTCACAGCGCCACCGCCTCCGGCAAACCCTAGCGAACTGTTCGTGTTGTTACCGAGGCAACCATATGATCGACTTTGGAGAAAACCCTTTACTTTCGCATCCGTATGTGGATTTTTACGATCATCTTCGTAATGAGCATACGAAAACGATGGGGCAAATCGTTGTTGAGCCAAAAGTCTTGCCCTTGTAGTGAGACTACGCCTGTAAGCCATCGATTGAATTTCCTCTTGATCGAGATTTACAGAAATTTACGAGAAATATGCATGAAAAATTGAAAATTATTGAAGCACAGGTCGTTTATAAGCTTCATGAAAAGGCGTTAGGCTACTAGGAAAATTATTGAAAATTATTGCAACGTTATTATATCGTTTTGTATAGTTATAGTTTAAGTTATGAATATAAAAATCGTGTCATCTATGATTTTTTTTTTCTTATTGACCAAGATATACTAGTAATTCATCAGGCGAATATACATTATAGTCTTAGGGATGAGTATTTTGATTGAACCTAACCTCATTATTTTGACACAAATTGATGGATCTTGGATTAAATATTTTGAGGTTGGTCCAAGTCCGGGTTTTCAAGTTCTTGTACCGGTGGCGGTACAACTTTAGGTGTGTATGGTACAACCCATTGAAGGCTTATCGAGTTAGCTTATCTATTACGGCCGTAGAGGTGAGCATTTAGAGCGAATCAGACCGGAACCGGATAGGACGACTCTTGGACTAAACTTGTTTTACAGAAATTGATGGACCTTGGACCGGATCTGTTAAGACCGATTCACGTCTAATCCGGTAGAGAGGTCCAAATATTCACCCTTACATTACACATTATTTGACATTTATGAATGTTTGACCCAACAATTTATGATAATAAAACAAAAATGCCTTAATAAATACAAGTCATCATAAATTTAAAAGTCATATCATATGGTTGTTCACTTAGTCGGTATAAGCAAATAATGGTTTGAAATCAAATTTTCTAAAAACACATAAAAAAGACATCACAATTATCTCCTAAGAGTCTTTGTTGCGGCACCCCCTCAAACAAAAAAATTACAAGCATTTTTAAATACATAGAAAGTAAAATTGCAATAAGAAATAAAAACATAATATTTAACCTGGTTTACTTGATTTGAGAAATTGAGAGAGAGAGAGAGAGAGAGAGAGAGAGAGAGAGAGAGAGAGAGAGAGAGAGAGAGAGAGAGAGAGAGAGAGAGAGTCGTTGGATTATACTTTTTGAAAAAAGTCACATTAAATCACAAGTGATCTATTTGTAGAAGCAAACTTATTTAAAATTTGCGAATATGACCGACCCAAGAAAACGACTATGAAGAATTTGGCGCATGAAGCATTTAAATTCCACTTGGACTCTAACACCCCGCTCCCGAGTTAAACTTAAAGAGAGAAAAGAAAGGAAATGGAAGGAAATGAGAGGAAAGCAAGAGAGAATGGTGCTCCCGAGTTTCATTAAATGAAGGAAATGGAAGGAAAACTTTCCCTCCTACCTTTCTGATGGGTTTTGTTCCTAAGAACATCCTATGTGCTCATACAAACCCTAATGCTTGGATCTAGGTTTCTCTATTGTACATGCTTTGAATCCAAGACTATAAACCCTAATTCTAGCATATGGAAATTGACATTAACATATAATTAGGTTTAAGAACATGCCTTGATTGTTATGTAGCAATAACAATCCCAATTCCACCTTGGATTGACTTTGGAATGCTTAGAGTCACAAGTGTCACTCCTCTAATGGCTCACAAACACCATAAGCAAATGGAGAAGGTATAAAGAGAGAGGTGAGAGGTTAGAATTCGTATCTAGGATCTCTTGGGAAAGGATACACGAATTCATGACCCTAGGGGTGTTTATATAGGTGTAGAGATAGGGTTTCAGTCATTATCCTTATCTAGTTGATTATCCATTAAGCAACCAATAAGATAATCCTTGAATCCTTATCATACTCGAATTCTAAGGCTTTCCAACCTTAAATTCGTCCACCATATAAATAAGATAATCCTTACCTTATTTTGTAACTATCACATAATTACAAATCAGCCCCTCTAGTTTAATTAATTACATTTGATCACAAAACTAATTCTTAATTAATTATTGACCAATATTAATTAAACAAATATGATTTCTCCTTTAATATATTATTCTTATAACATATTAATAAATCATATTATCCTCTCTCTCTCTTTATTCATTTCTCCAATCAAGTTGCTTTGGTGAAGGCAACCCAAAAGGACCATGCACCATCGGGTCAAGCACATCCCAAAATAGTTATGGACTTAGACACTAATCCAACAGTCTCCCACTTGGATAAGTCTAACAACTATTCTGCGTATGACTTCAGATCCTGATCTGCAATCGTAGCTTTCCAAAGCTGCTGTCAACTCTGATCATATCAGATACGCGTGTCCTTAGATAAGGGATCATATATTCCTCCATTCTAGATATCGTATGAGATATGATTTCAAATCATTCTCTTTGTACTACTTCTCGATTTCTGATTTATGACAACAGACTAACTGAACAAATCAAATTAGCCCTAGCCCGGCCGAGCATTTACGTATGTCATCACTAAACCATCGAGGGGCCCAAAGATATCGCTTCTATCCTACCTTGGATAAAAGGAACGGATAAACTTTGATACAATGCTTGCTTGCACTCACTAACCAAATCACACACAACAATATGTTTTATAACACCAAGTTACTAGTGCGTTTACATATTATCAATGTGCAACCGATTCGCAGATACAACTCACACATCTCGGTTTCAAGAATATAAGATGTTATCGTCTCACTAATCACTCGTAATACAATTCATGGAGTGATCCAAGTGAGCGTGGGTTTAATCCAATGCTCAAATCATATTCATAAGCACTCATGAACGTTGCAGCAAACATTTGCTTATGTCTAATACTCTTCTAGACAATCCACACACCAATTCACGACAGTCTTCATTCATATCTACTTCCAACATATGAACGACTGTGGCCCGTTCGAATAATTCGATTATTCTTAATAAACTCAATTATTCTGGAAGTCAAAACATGCAAAGTGAAACACAAGAATAATACTAATCTCATATGGCCTCAAACCTTTGAGTATAAACAAAACACGTTTTATTTATCACCATATTGATTACTCATTATTTGTCGTTTCGGGTAATCAACTTTTACTTGAATTATTACACTTGTCCATGCTCCTAGCATGCACACAATGTTTACCTATGGTTCTTACTTTTGTGAAATAGACAAATTGAACACATTTCCAATCATTCTCATTTTACAACTCCAAATCCATTTTCTTAAGTGTAAGAATATCAAATTCTTGTTACTTATAGAATATACTAGATTCTAACACTTTATGCAACGATCCTTTTGTAATGTCATTGCACCAAAGTCTCAAAGACTATTGCCAATGATATTACAAAGTCCTCTATCGGAGATTGTTACAAGACAATTCCTTAGATATGATGTCTCTCACTCAAAGTACATTCCTTTGAACATCCTTTTGCATAAAAGTTTCTAATCTAGACATAGATTTTCAATATTTACTTCCTAATATGGACACGCTTCCATATTTTCCATATGACAACTCATTTCTTAATAGAATCTTATCTATTCGTAATGATGTCGATATTGTCCATCCAATATGGAAACATTTCCATAATTTCCGATACTATACTTCCAACTACTCACAAGCGACCAATTCTCGTCGAACTTCGATTGTCCTTTGATAGTTGTTTAATTATTTTAGTCAAAACCGATTCTAGTCCCTTTTCCCTCTCAATGCGCTAGACATTTGGAAAATTTTAGAATGGTCAAACATTAAATCATTTGCAATCGATCCTATACTCGAAGCGTATGGGACACGATGCATAATGTTTTATTTGCTATGTTCTCAAAATTCGAATTGTGAAGAAGAATGTCGTAATCATAATCGAAACTTTAAGAACACACTATGTACCTTTGACTAAATTTATCAACATTTCACAACCTAATCCTTTAGATTTGAAATGAAGCATAATATTCTCTCCCTTAATTATAGCAAAACAACCTTTCAACTCTTACAACTTTGCAAAGTATGACTCTTGTTTTCTATAATTAATATTGCCAACTATGCAATACTTGCCTTAATAATCATACAATCATAACATTTATGCTCCCACTATCATGATGATTATTATAAAACATAACACTTATGCTCCCACTAGCTTCGACATGTATTCATAAACATCTTAACTTTCAGAAAAACAATACTTATTGAATTTCTTAAGTTCATGTTTCTAATACTTAGTGCTTTGATAATCTTTTATCAAGACTTCTTGAACTTATACACTTTTGCCTTAGATAGTTCATATGTGTGTCTTAACAATTAAGACTAATTGCCAAACCTCACAATTCAAATTATGGAAAGGGATGCCGTAACCATTATCGAATTCGAGAATGCAATTTTACAATCACTATCTTTTAAAATCTTTCTTAGTGAAAGCATTTACTCACAATCATTTTCATGAAGGAGGAAATCTTATGACACTTAGATTTAAACAGTGTATGCGTTCCTATCCATGTGAATTTGTTAAAAACCAAAGTTTACGACAAATTCAAACTCATATGGATCGAACTTCCTTAATCTTGATTTCTTGCCTTATGGTAGCACAGCTGCCCACCACGTCTTCCAAGTAGTTAAGCAGCTCACCTTTTCCTATCAATGTACTTTCCATTGATCAAGGTCCTTGCCTTTTATGCATTCAAATGAGAATTCATAGGACTCACATGCATAATTAACTTGATTAGATTGGCACAGAAACAAAATAATCTCTTCACGATAGGTTGTAAACCTCAACTCGTGTGCTAGTGATAATCAATAAGGTTTATTTGATTTGTTCTTGAAACTTTTCAAGACCATTAAGACTCCCACTGACTCCTTGACATATAAGATTCTCTTGTCAATAAACATTTGTTGACAACCAAATATTCAAGAGTTAGTGTAGCTTTTATCAAAAAACTTCATAAATTGGTCCAAGTTGGTCTTTGTCTTATTCAAGACATCACAACTTTCCACATTTTATGAATGTTATAAACCTTTAATACTTTTCACTCATTGCCACAATCTTAACTTTAAGACTTGTTATTGGAACGAAGTATGATAGACTTCTTGATTTAACCATTTCTTCAATCTTTGAATCCTCTTCTT